TTAAATTAGTTATATGAGAAGAGTTAAATTAGTCCTCTATTTTCTCTTAATTTAACGGTTTTAATTAATCATTTATATTTTCAAGTGAGTAAAATATTTTAAAAAAAATTTATACAAATAAAATTAATGTCATATACAAAAAATTTGACTTAAATACACTTTTAGTCCTTCTATTTTGAGTTGTACATCACAAGCACCTTTCAACCTTTGCTGCACCTTCTTCTCTTTTCACCACAAGCACTCTATTTGATGAACACAAATATTGAAACTAAAAATTAATAAACTTTGGACAAAATCGAATTAACATATTACTTTCATCACTCGCTTCTGCTATACTCTTTGAGATAGAAAAATGGATTTTATGGGCGAATTCGATAAATGTTTAATTCGAACGTTTGTAGTTTGTAATGGAAATTTTGAAAATTTTCTTTTTTTTTACCGCAATAAAGACACATGTACTGCAATTTTAGAATTTCTAGAAAAAATATACCGAAAATTGTAAAGTTTTCGGTTGAGATCAGGAGTGTTTTGCCTGAAATTATGAAATTTCTGGGAAATACCACAAAATTTCAGAAATTTTAAAATTACTGGTATGTGTCACATGATTTTAAAAAAACATAGATTTTCAGTATTTTCCACAGAAATTTGTTCAATTTTTTGCTGCATAACTAATTCGATAAAAAAAACTATCTGATATAATATATTCATATAATAAAAAGTGTGCTACATACAAGATTACAAAACAAATTAGGATGACTTTCTAACTTCATCTTTCTAATGCCTAATATGTCCTACATTTGCTGATTCTCATACTTTTGCATCTTCAATACAGTTATGTCTCCAACGGTCAGTGATGGGAGGCAATGGACTATCAGGTTTCAGCTTTACCTGAACCTAAAGACTAATATTGACATAACCAACAGCAACCATTGTATGTCTGCTCGTACATAGGTGGAGTTAAGGTAAAGGAAAAAAGATAATGTTAAGTCTCTTTGATAGGGAGACAAATATGACATTGTATCTACAAACAATAGAGTAACTCATATCAGGAATTGTCATCCAATATAGCAACACCCAAGTGTTCTACTCGTAACGCATTCCTAACTGTAGCGACCCTATCATATAACAAATTGAAAAACAATTGAGGGTGTTGATGAACTTAAGTATCTAACTGCGTCTGAATCAAAGGCCATGACTCTTCGCCCCATCCAAGTAAAGTTGTAATGGCCCAATAACCACAATTTCCATCATTACCCACATCAACAATGTCATCAATGTATGGATGTAAGAAATTAAGAAACTGATACAAGTAAAGATTCCTTGAAGATGTAGTGGACGGTTGACTTTGACCTGGCATACTTGACGGTTGACTTCCAGTTGGTTTCGTGCATGATCTCTTTGTAGTCTGACTCCCTTGCGAGCCCTCACCATACTTCCGCTTTGAAGGATCACAATGCACATCTCTCTCTCCACCCTTTTTACTCCTTTTATTCCCCCTCTTTGATTTGTACTTCACCGACGGTAGACACATAGAAGTTGTCGATAGATTTGTTAGTTCCCGAACCTTTTTCTTCAACATCCTCTGGCCTACAATATTCGAAGTACTGAAATATGTCTTCAACTCTTCACACTCGGCTTCTAAATCCAATTGTGTATCATTTTCTTCACGACTGACATCATGCTCTTCAATGTGCAATTTCTTCCAAAAAAATATGAATTGGTTCTAAAGGAACATGATTACCTTGTATTTGGAAACTGGAAAGTTGACACGCACACGGTAACCCATGTGTTGTTCTAATGAAACAACCACAAACATTTTGGCTTGCACCAATAAATTTTACCATTTCTATTTCTTTTCCAATGTGTTGTATACATTGTTTTGAAACAAAAATGTCCAAGTTGGTATAGAATAGAGTGTTATACCGATGCTCAATATTGACAATACTTTTTTGAAATGAGACCCTGATTGAACCTAGCCACAACTTTAACATGGTGTTCACAGCATCCCAACTTCGATATAAATCTCTTCGGTTTGTAGTCAACATGTTTTTTAGTCTCTAATGAGCAGACTCCGCCCTAAAAACCCTAATTAAAAATATATGTTAAATTCTGTTTTGTAATGTAATAACATTAAAATGACGTTTGTGTACTTGTTCATTGTTGTGTTCCCTAAATGAGTGACTTTGTTAGTCCAAGCAACAACAAACTTTTCTTTATAAGGTGTCAACCATGTTTCACTCACATACTTAACAAATAAAGAAATATCAACACAAACAGTCTTAAAGTGGTTCAAGTGTGCGACAAACTTTGTTTATCTATTAGCATACATGATGTTGTTCCATAAATCCATGACATGTTCTTGTCTTTCTGATTTAACATGTTCTTTACATTTCATACTAACATTTTTTAAAATATGGAATGAACACAACAGATGAGTTAAATTTGGAAACACAATTTTCATGACATTCATCAAAGCAAGTTCTCGGTCCGTCACCACAAGCTTCTGTAGCAAATTCTCGTAAGAGAATAACTCTTTGAGCTTCTCCAGTGTCCATTTGAAGTTCTCCTCCATTTCATGTTTCAAATAGGCAAAATCTATCGAAAATGTCAATTTTATTGACGTAACACCAATAATCTCAAGCAGTGTTAGCTGGTACTTGTATGATCACGATGCACATAATCAAAATCTGATAAATCAAAATATGTCCAAAAGATATCAAAATTCAACATCTGGCCATTACATATTTGTCTTGTATGTACAACTAAAAATCAACAAAAAATAAAATATATTTAACAGCTTCACTGAATCAGGACGTATCCAAAAGATATCAGCAACATCATTTGAGTCTTCCTTATTTCTAGTCCAACACATGTATTTTCTCTATGAATAAGACTCAACAACATTTGCATTTTCGTCAATGAACCTCTCTTGCTCGCATTGTATGTAGCTATAGCTTTATACACCTAGGTAACACTGGTGAGATTTTATGCAACTGTCTTTTAAAGCAGTAACTATGTATCATGGAGTCATGTTGTACTTCGTCATGTCATTTACACTTTGTCTTTCATGAACTTTTAGCCTACCCAATATTTTATGGCCTTCTAAATCCTAAGATAGTTTATGATTATGCAACTCACGTCTAATTATCACCTTCCAACTATTACTACTCAACGTAGTTCTCAGTCTAAAAGAACATTTCACTTTCATACTATAAATACCTTTTGAGGATTTATTACTTTCAAATGCATTCTTTCTTTTATAATTTTCTCCTCTCTTACAACCCATAATCAATTTCTCTTTCTCACCTCGCTTTCCATTTGCAGTATCAGAATGAACAATCACAACAATAATATCATGTTGTTTTTCAATATTATGTGTCTGTGCTAATACTTCAGATCGGGATTCAAATATCTATCATTTATATCATATAAAAAGTATATTATCAATATCGTATAGAGGCGGAAAAATATTTAAATTAAACTTGTTATATAGAAAATATATTACGTAAAGTGACGAAGAACTGCATAAAATCCGTACACAAATTTGTAGAAGACCTGTCGGCTTCTCGATCACACAAATAAAACATTTTTCAGTTTGCTGCACTGCTACTAGAAATTTGGAGTACATGCAAAATTTTCGATATGCTAAAAACTTTGAAATTTATGATATTTTGAAAAATGTTAAATTTGAGGAAGTTTTAAGTTTTTTCCAGCAAATTTTAACAATTTTTGATATAGATTTAAAATTTTCTAAAAAAATACCAGAATTTTTAAATTTTTCAATACTTCTTCATCAAAAAATTTCTAAAGTCGGATAAAAATACAAAAAAAAAAAAAGTACGTACCATAAAATATGTTTGTACAACTAGAAATTTTGTTTTTGAGATGTTAATAAGAGGGAAAAAATTTTACAAAACGTAAACTTTGGTTAATAAATAATAGCAACGACGATTTTGAAATTTTAAAATCATGGGGGATCAAAAAATATAAGTGTGTGAGTGGCAGGTTAACACCAAAGACATATTGAAGCTACCTCTCACTTTTTACTAAAGAGAAAAATATAATGAAATGAAGAATAATTAGTATTATAAATAATATTAGTAATTATATTATATTTTCTTTTCTTTTATTTATTTTATAAAAAAACAAAAATATTTTATTGAGACTAAATAACGAGTACAAATGAGTTACAAAGAAAGAAGTTATGCGTAAATAAATATAATGGTTGGAATGATGAGTGCGTACTATAAGAACGGTATTTATTATCATTTATAAAAACTGTCGAATCAGAGACAACTTCTCAAATATTGTGCTTATGTTATTATGTTAATTAAATATACAAATCATGCAGACTTTCAAAACATTTCATTGAAAAATGAAAGATTTTTTAAAATATTTGTCTTCATAATAACAATGTAATTTCCCCCAAACCACTAACTGTCAATTACAAATAATTACTTATTATTGTCGTCTAAGATGTAGACCAGTGATATGAAATTGGACTAAAGAAGTACTATTACAAAGAGAGTATAGAGTTCAATTCATGCCTTACACAAAATTTCCCCCAAACCACTAACTTTTGACCATATAAATAATTACTCATTACTTGTTATTCAAAAACAATATTTTGAATGTTATAACAATCTGATTCGCACATTCAAAATTTGCCTGAGACAGACAATCTGTACTGAAAAGAGTAGTTATTACCTCCTTGAGTATTGACTAAGTCGGTTCTTCACAGATTGGATCGGGTTTGAACCCAAACCAATAAACAGGTAATTTCCCACAACATGGGTGATGGCTAAAAAGAATATAACAAAGATTTAGAAGAAATGATGGCATATAGAATTACAGTTACAGCTCAAACTAATTCTGCCCTATGATAAATATGAAACTAGCAAAAATTTATGTAGCACACAAAACACAGCTCCCAGCCCCATCTATGATCAACACATTTCACTTACAGCAGAGATTTTCTGCCAAGTGGAGCCGATTTTCCCTTACTTGTTAAAGAATAATCCCTTCCTCCTTCCCCTCTTTCTGGCCCCTGCCTGCAGAATAAAGTAAAAAAACTTTAATATACTATACTGCCCACTCACTGGAACAATACTTGGCATAAAAAATAGATTACTAATTATTCATAGCATAATCATATGCCAATGAAATACAAGGTCCAAATGGAAAAATATATAGTATATACCCATGACGTTAATATTAATCGGCAGCACATTAAGTAAAGGAGAAGATTTTTATACCCTTCGGATAAATAATCTCAATGTGAGCACAATGGTGTCTCTAGCACTGCAAAAGAAGCAACATAAATAATCAGACCAGAATCAGAAATAGCCCTATTAGACAAACCCATTTAATACTTCAGAGATTAGAGAATAATAACTCCACGTGCATCAATAGCAAATAGTATAAGTTTGGCAGATATATATACGGATGTGTTGATCCAAAAGAAATACAACCTCAAATTTATTCAACTATTATAAAGAATTCTAAGCCATTTGTTTGTAGCAAAAAAACAAACTTCATCATATGCAAGTTTGGCAAATATAAATACGTGATGATCCTAAAGAAATACAACCTCAAATTTATTTCAATATTATAAAGAATTCATAGCCATTTGTTTGTAGCAAAAAACAAACTTCATCATATACAAGGTAAACATATTTTTGCCTCTATTATCCATAACAAAAGCAAGAACCAAAGAACTTCGGATGACAGCGATTACAAAAATAAATAAAGGACGCAAGTACAAAAGAAAAACATTAATCTCCGGCTCATGATATTTTTTTATTACATTTAAATTTAAAAGATGTAACCACAAACAAGAAGGCAGAGGAGAAAGGCATTCAGACTACTAAAAATGAGGACTACGGCCCTCAGCTCTCTACCCCACAGATTGCATGGGAGAGCCAAGCTAAGACGTTTTAATGTTTAGAAAGGTGATCAGCTTAGGCTTAATAACTGTTAGGAAAATAATTTATTTTCATATTTAATTATTTACGTCTATTGTTATTTATTTTCTTTTATTCTCCATTAAAGAGAGAATTAAGTATTTTTATTGTATTCTCATTATATAAACCAGCTTTTGACTGAAGAATAAAATTACAATAACTTTTATTTATTTCTTCCAATATGGTATCGAGAGCTCTGGGTTAGGATTACCGTAAAGCTTCCAATATGGTATTCTGTTCGACCCGCTTTTTTACCCGATCCGATTCACATACTAGTTTAATCTCTTATGGGGAATAACAAAGGTGGCAGCCACGGCAACGGAGGTGGCCGCGGAAACGGCGGTGGTCGCAGAGATGGTGAACGAGAGGAACTGTCAGTGGTCACAAACAGTGGCAATAATGACGGCAATAATGAAGACATTAACATTGTTTTCGGTAGTAATAACGACAACAATGAAAACAGGAACATTGTCTTTGGTGATAGTTATTCCAACATAGGCGGTAATGATCAAGAGGGTTCCTCATACTCCCTCAAGGTCAATATCCCTAAACTGAATGGAAATAACTATAATGAATGGGCTTAAACCGTTCGGTTGGTGTTGGATAGCGAAGGGAAACTTGGTTACTTAACAGAAACAGTAGCTGAACCGACATCAGGAGATCCTCGTTACAAACAATGGAAATCTAAAAACTCTTTGATTATTGCGTGGCTAGAGAGCTCCATGGAAACCGGAATAGGTAAGCCTTACACGTTTTTGCTTTCCGCAAGAGATGTGTGGGAAGCTGTTAAGGAAACATACTCTGATATTCAAAACTCCTCCCAAATTTTTGGTTTAAAATCAAAGTTATGGCATGCGAAATAAGGTGACAGGAGTGTAACTATTTATTACAATGAGCTGTTAACACTGTGGCAAGAGTTTGATCTTTGTTATGACGACAATTGGAGGTGTACAGAAGACAGTGTTTTGTTTCTCAAGAGGCAAGAAAATGATTGTGTATTCATGTTTCTCGCTGGGCTCAATAACGACCTTGATGAGGCAAGAGGTAGAGTTTTAAAAAAAATAGCATTGTCAACTCTTCGTGAAACTTTTGTGGAAATAAGAAGGGAGGAGGCACGACAAGGAATTATTATGGGCAAGACACCACGAAGCTCTGAATCTGAAGGTTCAGCTCTGTCTACTAGGAACCTTGACGAGGGAAGAAGGTCAGATAAAGTTCTTTGGTGTGATCACTGCAAGCGCGAATGGCATACACGTGAAACCTGTTGGAAGCTCAAAAACAAACCTCCAAACTGGAAGAAAAAAGGTGGTCGTGCATTTCAGGCTAGTAATTCTGATCAAGGGCAGCAATCCCCTACAACTCAGCTTCCATTTACTACGGAACAACTAGACAAACTCTTCGAGTTTCCAACCCTTTCTTGCTCTATAGCAACAAAAGGTAATTCTGCACTTCTTAGTGTCAGTCCCAGTCATACTTGGATAGTAGATTCAGGTGTCTCTGATAACATGACAGGTGAATCTACTTTGTTCTCTTCATATTGTGCAGATGGCTCTTTTTCATCCATTGCAGGTAAAGGGTCAGTTGTGTTGTCTTCAATATTAACTTTTAAAAATGTCCTTCATGTTCCAAACTTATCGTGTATTTAATGTCCGTCAGTAAATTAGCTCAAGATATAAATTGTCAAACTAATTTTTTCCGATCTCACTGTGTCTTTCAGGATTTGAACTCGGGGAAGATGATTGGCAGTGTTAAGGAGAGTGGAGGACTCTACTACCTTGACATTGGATCTGCATCACAACTACCTTTAACAATAAGTTCCTGCTTTGAGTCTTTTTCTGTTTTGAATAATAAAGATGACAACATTATGGTATGGCATTTAAGATTAGGTCATCCTAGTTTTCGTTATTTAAAACACTTGTTTCCTAAGTTATTTCACAATAAGAATTTTTCTTCGTTTAAATGTGAAGCATGTGAGTTTGCAAAGCATCATCGTTCCCAATTTTCAATACAGCCTTATAAACCATCAAAACCATTTTCTATTATTCACAGTGATGTTTGGGGCTCTAACTGTACTAGTACACTCTCTCAAAAAATAGTTTATCACGTTTATAGATGACCATACAAGAGTATGTTGGGCGTACTTGTTAAAGGGGAAATCAAATGTTTGCCAGCCTGTAAAGAATTTTTTTTCAATGGTGCATAACCAATTTCAAACAAATATCCAAGTTTTTAGAAGGGATAATGGCAAAGAATATTTTAACACTATCCTGGATGATTTTTTTCTAAAAAATGGGACTGTACATCAAAGTTCATGTCCTAATACTCCTCAACAAAATGGAGTGGCCGAAAGGAAAAATAGACATTTATTGAAGGTTGCTAGAGCTTTACTTTTTTCGAATAAAGTACCAAATTATTTGTGGGGCGAAGCTGTTTTAACAGCTGCGTATTTAATTAACAGAATGCCCTCCAAAATTCTCAATTTTCAAACTCCAATTGATGTCTTCAAAGAATGTTTTCCTAGTACTCGTGTTTTAACTGATTTGGCTTTAAAAATTTTTGATTGCACAGCTTTTGTTCATGAACATAAAAATGTTGGAAAACTTTTTTTGAAAAATTTATCTTGGCCTGCACCACAAAATTCCGAGACTTTTACATTTGCCCCAACAGAAAATGGCCATGATTCTGTATCTAATCCTACTCCTGTTATGAGTAAGGAGCCTTGTGAATCCGAGCCTACATTTTCTCTTATAGAAAACAATGAGAATCCTGAAAACGATGATAATGATGATCTAATTGAAATGCCACAAAATAATGAGTCACTTCAAGAAAACAGATTCAAATTAGGAAACAAGGGAAGGTTTTTGTAAAAAAAGCACCATAAACGAAGGGACGAGTCCACATCTCAACACTGCAAGGAATCTGAACTGGGAAATGATCAACCTCCTAACAAAAGGAAAGGTAAGTCTATCTCTGTTTCTGAGAGTCGTATTTTGTATCCTGATATAAATGATCCTGTTGCCATTAGAAAACCTGTCAAATCTTGCACTAAACACCCCATGTCCAATTTTATTTCATATTCAAATGTGTCTTCATCTATGTCTGCCTTCACCTCAAAATTGTCTAGTGTAGAAATTTCAAAAAGTGTGCATGTTGCTCTAGAAATTTCAAAGTGGAGGGAAGTTGTACTTGAGGAGATGAAAGCTCTTGAAAAGAACAGAACTTGGAGTGTTACGTCGTTACCAGATGGCAAGAAGACAGTTAGATGCAAATGGGTGTTTACTGTGAAGTATAATTCAGACGGGTCAATTGAAAGGTACAAGGCTCGCTTGGTTGCTAAAGGCTTCACTCAGACTTATGGTATAGACTACTCAGAGACATTTGCTCCTGTTGCAAAATTGAACACTATAAGAACTCTTTTATCTCTTGCTGCTAACCTGGATTGGCCCCTACATCCGTTAGATGTTAAGAATGTCTTTCTTAATGGTGATCTAGAAGAAGTATATATGGACATTCCTCCTGGTTTTGAAAACAAATTTGGATCAAATGTATGCAAACTAAATAAGTCTTTGTATGGATTAAAGCAGTCTCCCAGAGTTTGGTTTGAAAAATTCACTAAGTCCATGAAGAATCAAGGGTACATTCAAGGACAGGCTGACCACACCTTGTTCACAAAATTCTCCAACGATGGGAAAGTTGTTCTGATTGTTTATGTTGATGATATTGTCCTTACTGGAGACGATACAGTGGAAATGGCAAGGGTAAAAGAGAAATTGGCAGTAGACTTTGAAATCAAGGACTTGGGATTCATGAGATATTTTCTAGGCACGGAGGTTGCTCGGTCAAAGAATGGTATTGTGATTTCACAGCAGAAATACATTCTAGACTTATTGAAAGAAACAGGAATGAGTGGATGTCGTCCTGCAGATACCCCTATGAATCCTAATGCTAAACTTTGGGGAAAAGGTAATGTTCCTGTTGATACTGGAAGATATTAAAGGTTGGTTGGGAAACTGATTTATTTGTCACACACCCGACCTGATATTGCTTTCTCAGTCAGTGTGGTGAGTCAGTTTATGCATTCTCCTTTCGAAGAACATCTTGAGACAGTCTATAGGACACTGAGATATCTAAAGGGAAATCCTAGAAAAGGATTATTTTTTAAGAAGACTAGTGAAAGAAATGTGTCTATCTTTACCGATGATGATTGGGCAGGTTCAGTCACCGATAGAAGATCAATCTCTGGATATTGTACCTATGTTTGGGGTAATCTTGTGACATGGAGGAACAAGAAGCATGGCGTTGTAGCAAGGAGTAGTGCAGAAGCTGAGTATAGAACTATGTCTCAAGGTATTTGTGAAGGATTATGGATCCTTAGAGTCTTAGAAGAACTTAAGATGAAAGTTGAGCTTCCATTGAAATTGTACTCCAACAGTAAAGCTGCTATTGGCATAGCTCATAATCCAGTTCAACATGACAGAACCAAGCATATTGAGATTGATCGACACTTCATAAAGGAGAAGTTAGATGCTGGAATCATATATCTACCTTTCGTGACTTCAAGTCAGCAAACTACGGATATCCTGACCAAAAGTTTGGCAAGACCTACCTTTGAGCATTTGATAGACAAGTTGGGCATGATAGATATCTATGCACCAACTTGAGGGGGGGTGTTGGAAAATATTTTATTTCCATATTTAATTATTTATGTTTATTGTCATTTATTTTCTTTTATTCTCCATTAAAGAGAGAATTAAGTATTTTTATTATATTCTCATTATATAAACCAGCCTTTGACTGAGGAATAAAATTACAATAGTTTTTATCTATTTCTTCCAATAATAACACCGATGCATTAATACTCAAGTACATTAGAACACCGATGCATTGAAGATTTCCTTCCAAAAAAAATGTTATATCCATAAATTAATTTTAGCGCATACAAAAATAAAAGAAAAAAACTTAACTTCCATTTCATATGAACATTTTTAATTTAAAAGGTAGATAATGAAGCACAGCACAACTAGAGAAGGGATCATTATTCTATTCAATGCTGTGCAACTTCATTCCTTTTGTTAGTCAGTTTGTAAAAATGAACAGGTAAGAATACTTACCCACTGACATCTGTTGAGTTGTTCTCTGCTCTTAGCGGATGTTCCGCACCAGTAGAGCCAATTATAATAAATTCTGAAACATGACCATATGGAATTACAACCTGCAGAAGTAAATGCAGAAGAGATTAAAAAAATTCGCTAATCAATAAAGACCAAATCTTCTTTACAGTTCAAAACATACAAACACACATGTTTTCATAAGAAACTGGTTTATCAGACCCCAACACTGGTATTTTCTTTGAATGTCATAACAGATGTGTCCTATATGGATACTTTTTTTGATACTTCATTTCTAATACTTTGTTAAGAACTTTAAAATGACCACTAAAAAAGAATGGAGGGAGTATGTTTTATGCTATTTTTTTATCTATTATAAGTAACTTTAATATATTATAAAAAAATAATCATATAGATAAACTAATGTTCAAAGGCAGAAAGATACAATTCACTTAATGATTCCCAGAATCCGTAACTTTATTTTCCTAAACCAATCCATAACTCCGCCACAGTTCCAACTAGACAAAATCTTAACAAACAATATCAAGGAATAAGACATACAGTGGTCGATGGAGAAAACTTTTCTGTGATTACAACTCCATTTGGTCCACTGCATTTGATACTGTAACCTTCCTTCTTAACGACCAATGTGGCTGGTTCCCATATATCAAGATATCCAGTCTGTAATATCAAGAGAGAGAAGAATATTAAACTGTTGGAAATCTTCATAAAGAAGACTGATAATAAAATAAAAGTTTTATACAGGAAACTTATAACAACTAAGAAAACTACTTTCATTGAATTACCGAAAGGGAAACTTTATATGAAGCATGTCCGCTATAAAAACTCTTCTCTATGTGGCTCTGCATTTCATGATCTGAGAACAAAATAACAAAAGGGAACGACTCAATAAACTATTTAGGAACTCCCAACATTTACAGCCCAAAAATAAAATAATAAGAAGGGAGACCTGAGGAAACCTATATCAAATGGTTAAAACCAAGGAAACCAGTATGACACATCCATGAAAGATAAGTTGGTAACTTGATTGTTTTTCAAGTCTAACTCTTCTCTTTGATTGATATTCAATTCTCCTTATTCATAATATTTTTCTTTCTCATAAACTTTTTAATTAAATTATTTAATTTAGATAACTTCAGCACAACGAATGCATAAAAAATGTTAAAAGACTATATCCCCTTCTTTTGTAAGTGTCTCAACTCTCAAGTACATACCAAGTTAATATGACAACTAATCATTTAAAATTATCTAACAACCTTAATAGGGTACATTCTACTAGAACATATGATACTTATGAATTAGAAAAGGTTCACATAGAATAAGTAAAAACACTGTCTGTTTTTAATATATGCTTTGGTGGGTTAAACGGCACTGATTTCTTTCCTCAAAATAACAATCATGCCCTTTTATATATATTTCCTACTGCAAATGTGACAAGTAATAAAATCATAGTTTCAAATAGACTACCGCAGATACACAAACACCTTCTGATTACTGAAAATCCACTGGAACTGGTAATCCTTAGAGTCTATCTCATAAGTTACATGGAAGGAAACAACTACTACTTCAAAAACATTAATTATGATACAGGAGCTCACCACAAGTGATCTTCTTGTTATCATTTGCAAAAACTTGCACCGGTTCTCCCTACAGTAACAAGTAATGGATGAGATTTTGAGGGGGGGAAAGATAAGCATAATCAGAAAACCAAACTTATTCCAACTCAATTTACAAAGTACACATTTATGAATTGTGTTTTAGCTTTTCCCTTTGCATCTGAAGTAACTGAATAAGCATAGAGCACTATTGCGCAAAGGGCTCAATGCATTGCAGGAAATATTTTTAAGAAATCAAATACAGAACTTTTTTCATGAGAAAAAAAAAAACACAGCATATATAACATCAAAATTATTTAATGTAATTCCAACATAAAAAAGAAAGATTTAAAAATTGAAAAATTAAGTTAGCGAAAAATATGTAAGTATACAACTCTACACCAGCACCCAAAAGTAGGAAAATTGAATGTGCACGTTTCAAAGCACCATATAGGAAGGGCTAAGTGAAACTATATGCGATGTTAAAGACAAACATGGGTTGAGGCTTGATTCATGAGTTAAATCCTCATTGAATCCAGAGTCACATTTCAGCAACATCCTTTTTGGACAAAACAATGGGTTTGCATAGGGAAACAGAGGTTCTTGACAAAGAGAACATCAGTGCAGTGAAACAGAGAGATGTGATTATATGCTGTTTGAGTATGCAAAAGAATTTTCAATCTAGTTAATTATAGTCGCAGATGTTACTGATGCTAGCATTGGTGAAAGATTTTCTTATGGAAGCCGTTGGATAAGGTTAATTTGTATGACCTTACCCTAATATGATGCAATTTGATGTTAAAAATTCACAATAAAAAATTAATAAAGCACTCACAGGACAACGAGAATAAAATACACAGAATATGATGTTGAAAAATAAGTTACTATGAGTAATTTCCAAATCACATAACATTAATCCTTCAAATTCATACCTCTTCAATGAACTACTTGTTTTATAAGCTGGGTTGCATATCAAGGAAAGTTCATAACTAAATAAATGCCGCTTAATAAGAATTCCAAGCATCTTACACATACAGGTAAAAGACTGCCATTATGGTAAGTTCCAAAAAATACCTTGCGCTTCCTGTTATCCAGAGGCTGAACTTCAATGGCAAGTAATGTATCAACATCATCAGCACTGATAAGATAGTTGGGTTGCTTTGCCCCTATATTTTGGACAACGGCCATGGTTGAGTTTATCATATAAGGATGCATGAAAGGAAGGGGAAAAAATACAAATATAAGCATAAAAACACCTTCAATATAATTAAAAGAACCATCTTCCAGATGCCGAATCCACTGGAAGGGACAAAAAAAGAAAATGTTATTTCATTGGAAGAGATGTCTAACATTGATACCATACAGAAAATTTACTCAAAAGAAATAAAGCAAAAAGAAAAAAGTTCCAAATTATACACATAATATGCACCTCAAAATTACAACTAGTGGTGCCATGGATGGAGTATCCACATGCCTGAAGTTCCCTTCCTGGAAAGGCTTCTCCTGAAATTTGAAGGCCCTCAATAGCTGGTAATGGATCGTCATCTGCCGCTGCAGAATGATATGTTTGCTGAAGTTATGTGTTATAGATAAAAAAGAGAAAAATAATAAGAGTTTGAATATTATTGATAAATAACTTGATAGTAACTTGATACAAAATATTTAACACTAATCCCTATATATAGGACACGTAGACTCCATAAATAAATATGGAATCAGAAAACAAATCACAATATTAATAAGCAAAATAAAAAGTAACCCTAAGAGATCATCTAAGATTCTCTAAGATTACAAACTGATCCTAAAAAGTAAACTAAGATACTCTGTCTATCCCACAATGACTGACCTACTTAAATAAATAAAAAATTGTCCCAAAATGAATGACTTTTTCAATTTTGAATACAATGTTAATTACTTAAACTTTTCTCCAATAGTACCCTCTAATTAATATTAGAGGCATCACTTCCAAGTCAATATTCTCTCTTTCATCTATACATTTTTCTTAATGTGTGTGAAATGCTGAAATAGCTCACTCATTTTGGGATTGAGGAAGTATATTATAAGGTATTTCTTTATATTCTAAACAATATTCAGCTTTATTTTGCCAACAGCAAAGCTTCAAATATTTAGTATAGCTTTAAAAGAAAATAAGGGCCCACTTGTTCGAGCTTAAAAATTTATTGTACACTCCAGCTTTGTCTGGAGTTATCGCAAGAAACTGTTACTTTAGCTTCCAAAAAAGGCAGAAGACAACATTTTGAGGATTTTGCCTTTCGGGAAAAAAAAAAAAACTGAATTGTATAATTTCATAACAAAATTAAAAGTGTTCTTGGCATAGAAAAAGCAAATAGACCAAAATTCTAACCTTCGGAAAATGAAGAAGAAGGTTCTTCAAGAACTGGCGGTAGATAAGGAGAATATGATGAGCCAGGATCATCAACAGAGGTAGTATAAGAAGGGTTGCCTGATCCCCAGTTAGCAGGTGTCTCTCTCTCACTATGGTCCCCATCACCCTCCAGATCTTCCACTTCATTGTTGCTGACAGGTTCACGAAATGTGACTTGTTTGTTAGACAACTCTCCATAGTACTCATTCTGACTATCACCCTGAGTAACTACTTGGTGGTTGGGTACATCATGGGCTGAAGAATTCCTGTATAATGAGCAATATATTTGAGCAAACATGACATTGTATAACAGTCCATAAAAAGTCCTATTTTTTTTCATTTCTCTACCACTTCTAGATGAAATATAACAAAGCTCAACATGAGGAACTAATGACATTGCAGATAAATTAAGAGAGAGAAATCATGCCAATTAGCACTTGTTCTTTTATGAAAAGACCCACTAATGGATTAAACCCCTTGTCAATTTGTAATATATAAAAACCAAGAGATAATTTATATTTTGTTTGCAAACTTAAACAACAAGACGGAATATGGTTAATCAATATGACGGAATATGAGAGACCAGTCAGACTTTAGTTGCTATGAAATAAGCTAAAGTAGATAAATATGGTTAATCAATCAAGACGGAATTCATTTCATTTATAACAGAACACCCAAGCAATTACAATTTATAATAACATTCCTACTTAAGCACCAACTGCAATTGAAAGTCAGTATCATTGGAAAGTGAGATTCTTTATAAAAGTTATTGCCAATTTGGAATTTGGATATTACTACTGCTAGGGCATAATTGAAACCATTATATATTGGAACTTGACACTGGTACAGAGGTAACATACACCTTAAATTACTTTATACTATATAAAATATTTTTTGCCATATCTAAGTATTGTTGTTTCTAAATAATCTACATCCAAATAATTTTTTGTCATATCTAAGTATTTTTGTTTCTATCTTTTTTGAAATATTTTCCACTTTGTTTTAATAACGGAGATGAAGGCCCGTTTTCATTTTATTATAGGCCCATTATGTCAACTTTAAACCCAAAGCAGCTCTAAACCATAAAACTGATTCATCTTTTCCATGAAGCATTTGCAGCTTTTTCTCTCTTGCCCACTACCTCCAACCTCACTGACTGTTGTGCCCCTGCTTCTTTTCTTCCTCATGCTTTGTTACTTATTGGATGTTCTTTTTTACTTCTTCATTTTTCCTTTACCTCAGATGGGTTCGAAACAGGAAAAACTAAAAAGAGATCTGTTCGCCAAAATAGTGAAGGATTTCGTCTTTAAAAACCCTTAGTGCTGGAAAAGCAATGCAAAAACATGATATGTTCCATGAAATCCCTACATGAATGCGGCCGCTACTTTTATCTGCCACACGTCAACCAATTAAGGGAGGACACCCTTTCTGGAAAAGCAACTTGGAAGATAATAGAAGAGACTTACTATAAACCCAAAGATGCTGCTCGGATATATGAGGTGAAGGTGAAAACAGTAGTTTCAAAACAGGGATACAACTACAAGACTATTACCGAGTACGCAAATCACCTCAAAAGTTTTGTGGATGGAGTTGGAACTGTTGGAAGTTGTGGGATTTTTGGTAAAAGATGAGAAAAAAATATTATTGGCAGAAGCTTAATATTGACTTGATACAAAAGACTCAATATCAATCACTATTTATAGGGATAGACCTAATCGTAAATTAAGAGCAAATCGTGATGATAATAATAACTAATACAAAATCTGATATTAGATATTCCATTTTGTAGGGATCAAATTTCCCTCTCATCGGCAATTCCATTTTGTCGGGGGCGTTTTGATGCATGAAGACTCGTGTGTACATAACACCTTATTTTTGACAAAAGGAATTAGGCAAATGATTAAAATAAGCTTTGGCATTATTAGACCCGACCCTCTAAGTTGTTTTTTTACCAATGAGAAGAATCGCAAAACGCCCCCAACAAAATGGAATAACCGAGAACAAACCATGATAATAACTAATACAATCCATGGACTTGGAAATAGAAACTCTGGAAAAGAATAATACTTGGAAAATGGTCTATCTACCAAATGGAAAGAAACCAGTAGGATGCAAGTGGGTATGTATTGTAAAATATAGGGTTGATGGATTTATTGAGAGGTTCAAGACAAGGTTGGAAGCCAAAAAATTCACTCAAGCCTATGGAGTGGATTACTTGGAAACATTTGCTCCAATTCAAAAATGAATACATTTAGGGTAATATCTCCCTAGCAGCTAATTGTGGTTGGAACTTACAACAATTTGGTGTTTTATGGGCTAAAACAATCACCAAGAGCGCGGTTTGGAAGGTTTACTAAAGTTATGGTAGGTTGGGGGAAGTAACAATGTTATTAGTGTATGAAAGCAGACACCTAGCCAAGGACTTTGAGAACAAGACTAGAGTTGGACAAAGACCCAAGGCCCATCTAAAATCGTACTATCTAAAGTTTTCTAAACCAAGTTGGACGGGTGAAAGCGGGCTAAACTGGCAATCGGGCCTATTTACAGGTTTGAAACAGACTTGATTGGGCGGGTTCGGTCCAGGTAAGTGTCAATGGTTGCTGTCCAAACCAGATCAAAACTAGACCAGGCCCAACTTAACCCAAGTTCAGTCTCCCTAGCCCACTTGGTCAATCTAATCTAAGTTAGAAAATTCAGAAGAAGATAGTGTAGTTGACAAGGAAATGTCATTGTTGCTGGTTCGGTCCAGGTAAATGTCATTGTTGCTGTCCAAACCCGACCAAAACTAGACCAGGCCCAACTCAACCCAAGTTCATTGACCCTAGCCCACTTAATCAATCAAATCTAAGTTAGGAAATTCAGAAGAAGATAGTGTAGTTAACAAGGAAATGCATCAAAGAGACTTGTATACTTATCAAATACTAGTCCTGATGTTGTCTTTGATGTAAGATTAGTCCGCCAATTCATGCACTGACCATAGGAGATTCACTTACATGTTGTGCTCAAAATTGTGTAATATTTGAAAGAACCCGAAGTAGAGGAATTTTGTTCAAACAAAAAGTATGGGTTTTGAAGCATATAGTGATGTTGACTAGGCAAGGTTGATTGTGAATAGTAGATCAACTACTAAACATTTCACTTTTTGGGGTGGGAGTCTGTTAGACTGCTCATTAAGAATTAAGGAAAATTGACTTTTCAGTTTTGTAGCAATTATGTTTATTTTAGTGACAATTGTTTATATTATTAACAATTTAGTGACAGTTATAATATTATAAGGAGAAGTTACATTTTTATTAATTTTGTAGTTTTATGTTTAGAATAAATAAGGGGAGATGGAGGGGGACTCATTAATTTTGGAATTTAAGTAGAAAGGGGTCGATTTTGGCATTACGGGAAGCGCAGACCCTAGAAGTTCTGTGGTATTATTCTTTAAATTAAAGGGATTTTCCCTATTTCCTTCTGAGTATCAGTTGGTTTCTATCAATTGGAATAAGAGCAGTTCTGAACTGTGGCAAGAAATTCACAGTAGGGGAAAATGGAAATGCCGCAGTTTGACAGCAGCAGTGATGCCTATTGGTGGTTGATTTGCATTGAGGAACACTTTGATGTTGTGGTAACACCGGAGAGTGAGAAGTTGCAAGAGGCAGTGAAAACCATGAGAAATTGTGCTTTCATACGGTGGCAGTGGAGTCGACGACATCTACAAGAGAATTGGTGAATGTTTCATGTTGCACTACTTTGGAATTTTAAGCCAAAGTATATAGACCTTCTATCTATATCTTATGAAGACAAGCCTGAATTGGAATCGAAGTCGTTGACGCCTCACATGTTCAACCTTCAACAAGAAGAATATGACCAAGGAAATCCAGTTCTCATTCAGACAACTGAAGGGGAAAATGAGAAAAAGGAAGAAGACTCGCTACCGCCAACAAAACCTTCAGAGGTTGGCCTGGCAATTAACTCAATGGAAAAGTCGGGGACGATGGCAGAAATCAAAAAGAAGGACCACCTGAGAGGGATGAGGGTCAAGGAAGGAGCAGTGTACAAATGTCGTGCGGATACTGGTCCAGTGCATGTTCGACTATCCATCAATGGCACCGTTGTCATCACACTTAAAAGGAATTCTGCAACAGTGAAAATAAGGCCAGATAAGTTAATACTCATTAGGCCAAAGATTTCAGAAATGGACCAAATAAGTGGCCAATGCCACAATGATTAGGCCAACAGCCACCGTTGCAGAAACCGCCAGATGTTGGCTCACACATGGTGGTTGATGCTATTCTTAAGATAAAGTCTAGGATCAAGAAGTTCCACTATCAGCATTGTCGTCGTCCCAACAACCGATCATAAGTACTAACAACAGCGAACAGATTTGATCCAGGAGGAAGTTATCCTATTTCTTGTACAACTCAATCTTTATGCTTCAAGTTATTGGATCCAGAATGAGGCATGTTTCTACTGTGTATTTCTTTCACCTAGAGGGCAAGGAGAAACTTTAAGGAGGAGTATTGTTAGACCTTTCGTTAAGGAAAACTAATGACATAGCAATAATGTTTTTAAATGGCAATTATTATATTATTAGGAGTGGTTGTTGGAAAATTATTACATTAATAAGGGCAGTTACGATTTACTAATCTTGTGTTTGTGTTTGGAATAAATTGAGAAAGACAGGGGAGGTTTATTATCTTGGAATTTAACTTGAAAAGGGTCATTTAGGCATTAGGGGAGCCTCGAAGTTTTGCGGTACTATTCTGTAATTCAAAGGGATTTTGCCTATTTCCTTTTGTATATCAGATGGTTTCTATCAAATGATATTAGAACAGTTCTGATCCAGTAAGATTCTATAGGTGTGCTAATAGAGTCTTGTGACTTGTAGTAAAAAACAAAATGTGGTATCCAGATATATTGCAGAAGCAGAGTTCAGAGCAATGGCACAAGGAATATGTGAACTACTATGGTTAAAGACCACTGTAGAAGACTTGAGCATAAAGTAGGGTGAACCAGTGAGACTTTATTGTGATAATAAATATGTTGTTCACATAGCCCACAATGTGTACTCCATATATCTCCTCCCAAGGCATCCTTGCAAATCTTCTAATTAAGGGGTTGAACAGCAACAACTTTGAAAGGATTGTTTCTAAGTTAAGAATGGAAAATTGCTAATCACCAGCTCGGAGGGGAGTGTCAAAACCGTGTATATTTTGTTATGTTAGTATATTGAGAATATCCCTCAACTATAGGGATTTGGTTGTGTAGAAGTCTTTATTATATGTCTTAAATTAGCTTTTGCAAGCCTTGTATATATATAACTGGTGTATTCTCAACATAACTATTCAATACAATTCAATTCCACCCTAATTCTTGAGAGCAAAGTGCAAACCACAAGTTTCCCTTTTTAAGAATGTAATTTCATAAACAAAAGGAACTATGTAAACCTAATTATTCATTGACGGCAAGACAATAATATCGTTAAGATAGTGCAAACGCACAACACATTAAGCAACGGATTATAGAGATAAGGCCCTAATTTTAATAATGTTACTTCCCATTTGTTAAGAATAGTGCCTGACACATTGCCTAAAAAGAATAGTTTATTCATTTGAGTCTTAAGGGAAGGGAACAACAATGCATGCATCAGAACCACTTTAACAAAGATTTCATGAAAACAGAACCCACCAATACATTCAGTTCAGAGTAGCAGTCTTCATTTGATCAGGCTCACCTGCTTCCAATAGGTGAATATCTCCCCAAGTCATCAGCATCAACATTTGCTGCCAGCCCACCACCCATGCCGCTTTGGAAGCGATTCATTGCATCCCAACCAGTGCCTGTCTGAGCATCACCGGAGGCCTGAGTCATAACTTGAGAGTACCTATGCTGAGGTACCAGCTCCAGGCTATTTTTATTCTGATAAAAAAAATGCAATACTTAGAATTTTATTTAAGCATAACAATAAAAAATGACAAATTGACAAAGTAAGCCTACTGAAGTTTCCAAAGGTGCACCAATGGAGTTCAATGGTGATTGTGTAGCAACATTTGCATGGTTCATATCTGAACGCCAAGGTGTCAGTTGATACTGTGACTCCTTTAGCTTTGACTGTAACAGGATAATAAAGAACAGATATAACTAATACAACCAATTACTTTAGAAAAACTGTAAATACAAATGGACCACCCCCATGTATCTGCACAGCGTACCTCAGTGCGAAAAAGTTTTTCCTGCAAATGTTTAAACAAAACCTGCCAAAAGCAAAATCACTATGAATAAGATGGGCAAGGTCCTATAATTTGGATGTAAACAGAGGGACAGGTTTCAGTATTACTAATATGACATTTTCTTCGAGAAATATAGATTTTCCAAGTCAAATGGTTGAAGTTGTAGGGATATAGATAAAATAAGAGAAAGAATCAAGTCTTTAGATTTTGATAAATGATAATGGTTGATTATTCAAAAGACTAAATACTGAGTGTATATTATAATAACAGCAGACTCCTAATCATATTCCTATAAGAAAATAAACCATGAAATATAAAGAAATATGGAAGCCAATCCTAAGAAATAATATAAGATTTATAAGATGTTTCCTAATCATATTCCCATCACTATTTTCCTCCCTATCAATTCTATTACCCGCCCCTTGGCTTCTTCATGACTTCCCAATAATAGAATCTTCTCACTCATTCACTCTCTGCCATGTGTCCCATTCTGTTAATTGCAGCCCATTATGATGGATAATATCTATATTTCCAATCCTATCCTCCTGACAACCCCGTGGATCTAACATAAGGTTTGTCAGATGAAAATAAATTTGAAACTTGGTTATAAATTACATTCTAGTACCCTTTTCTTTTTCTTTTAATAAATGTAGATTTAGCACGATTGAGAAAATCAAGAAAAATTTCACCAGCTATTAATATTACTGATCACTACAGTAAAAAAGAGAAGAAAAAAAAAACATTTATTTATCCCAAAACGATTACCTTGAAAAACTAACACCGTGTCTCAACAGCAGCGGAGTGTATTACAAAACCAATTCTTCTATGATGATTCCTTTTTGCATTTCACACAGATTATTTTTCAAAAAGTAACGAAATAATGTTTTCCTCATCTCGAACCTAGTTAGTTATCCTTGCTTACGGTAAGAATATTATAAAATTCGTCTTATAATATATTTTATGTCATTTTAGAGTAGTTTAGAGTATATTGTAGGGTTTTATTTTATACTAATTATTATAAATTGTTCTTGATTTTCCTATTTATTTACGATTAAATCTATGCATCACTCTATATAGAAATTAGAGTTTAGTCTTATTCAATATCAAACATATTTCACTATTATAATATTTCTATTTTTCTCTCCTCCTTTTATCAAAAATCTCATAACTTCAACCTGGTATCTAGAGCTTTGTTCTACTCTCCTTGAATTGACTCATCGCTATTCCAAGTTCCCAAAAGGTTGGCAATATAATACTTTTCTCTTCTTCGGCTGTTTCCTTTCCTACCTCAGTTGCTGCCACAGGCGGTCACCAAAAAAATTGAGTTAACCATCGAATCCACCTCCATTGTGTGCCGAATCTTCTGCTCTAGATTTTCAACTACGGAGTAAGTCACACACGTCTTCTCCGTTTATCGTGTTTCTAGACACACGTCACTGCAACAGTCGGGCATCAGGCAGCTTTTAGGCATGGTTTGCGGTACCTGACTTGATTGCTTCTTTCGTCAGGCCACGGGTACTTAGGTTTCTGTTTTGGTTAAAAACACTATTTTGAACTTCTTTTATTTTACATGTTTTATGTTATGATTTCCAAGAGACTTACCAATTTATTTCCTATTCCATTTTACTACTGGATTATTATATATCTCAATGATAATGGGTCTTTTAAGTCTTGAATTATTCTAATTTATACTCTTCTTTTATTCATATATGTATATAACCATATATTAAAGAAAGAACAAACAGTACAGGAAAATATATTTAAAAGGAGTGGTAGACCTTTTATTTTCAACATTAGAGAGGCAGATGATAGGTTCTAAACAGAGTTATGAATCGCGGCCGCTATTGCCTCTATCCCGGGATTCCCGGCCAGGGAGGCCACCATGCGCGACGGAACACAGGCGCGGATCCCAGTTTTGGATCGCGGGCGCAAACGGGGTGATTTCCAGGAGTGGGTCGCGAGCCGCGTGGAGCTGTTTGGTGGTTTCTTTTTTTCTTGCGCAATTACGATTTTACCCTTAAGTTTTAAAGGCATGAGTACCAATTGACTTTCCATTCCACGATACTTTCTCCTTTTCGTCTTCTCTCAACGTTTTTTGTTTGCCCTAGCATCATCATCTTCAACCGGCGCTCCTCCTCCAGCCACCTCTGATACTTTCTCTTTTTGAAGACGCGTTTTCGATTCTCTTCTCACTTCTTCGATTCTTGATTTGCCCTAGCTTTTCTCACTTCTGTGTTTTCTGTTGAGATTTTTGGATTTCGATTCCCTTGCCCTTCAACTCATCGTCCGCCCTCCTTTCTCCTTACTTGGATTTCACTCAGGTTAGTCTTCTCTATTATTCTTCTCTTTGAAAACTGTGTTCTCTGTTTCTGAAAACGTGTTTGCTATTCTTCTTTGATATTTGATTTTTATAAAACTTTTATGGGTGCTGTGTTATTTGCATAGATTATTCAAATATTTAATCCAAAAAATAGTCAATTCTAAAAAGTCAACAAAAGATATCCCACTATCCGCTATCCCACTTTTGGAGTCGGCCGCTCCGCTCCGCTATCCAGGATTAATAACTCTAGTTCTATATGAATGGTCTGAACCAATTAGGTGGTTATTATGTTACTGGGAAGCAATTATAATATTAAATAAATAGGGAAACTGATGGAAAAGTCCGTGGACAAATAATTGGAATAAGATACTGGTTGGAAAAGACAAGGCTCTCAAATTCTTGGGAGGGAGAGACTGAGTTTCTTGGATAGAAATTGCTTTGCAACGGCATACTATTGCCTTCCTAAATTTCCATGTTATTTCCTAGTGAATTTTATTGTAAAACAACTTACCCTCTGTTCTGAGACTGCGTCTGGAGATTGTTGCAATTAATTATCAATTATGAATATACTTTTTAAGTAAAAACATGAGGCGTCAGAAAGGGGGAAATCAATCCAACTGGATATCAGTTTCTATCAAAAAAGAAGTGCCAGAATGTTGCTGGATAATATTGGTTAACACTGCCGGAGAGCAAGACACTGGCTAGAAAGGGAGAAGGCCAGCCTTTACTGTGCGCATTGGCTTGAAGTTTCAGCTCTCCCATGTGTATTGGTGTGAAGGTTCAACTCTCGCATGAGTATAAAAGAAAGGTGTTTTTAGCCTCAAATAAGAAATACATAGGCTTTCTGACGCAAAACCTGAAAGAAAGAAAAAATACCCCCCTCCCCCAAAAAAAACCTCAATAAAGCACAAAACAGGACAGATAAATTGGGGGGAGGGGGGGTTTCCCAACACAAAAATAGTGGCAGAAAGGGCTTTGATTTTCTGGGAGGCCCGGCTGCATCTCTGCTACTTTAAAATGCTTCAAAAATGTGAAACAAAAGTTAGCCGGTGCCACTCTGCGGTGCTCTTCTGCAACAGTGGCACTATAAGCACTAATGCTGACAACTATGTTTCATTCGGAGTGAGAAAGAGAGGTATGAAAGATATCAAATACATACAAGTGTCATATTTTGAGGTTATACTCGAACTTGAAAGTCCTTATGCAAGAGCAACAGCATTACTTATTTCCCGAAAGGAACGGGCTAAAACTGACCTTGACATTGCTAACAATCGACTGGGCATCAGGAACAGGTGGCTGCAAGGAGTATTCTGCAAGAAGAGGCAGCAATGATGAAACAAATGTTGACCTTTCTTGCTGTGCATCCTGATAAGAAAAAGAAAAGGCAAAAAACTTAAATATTTATTATGAAACACACAGCAAAAGAAGGTACTACCCATGGATATTTGTTGAAAAATATTAAGTTAGAACAGCCAAGTTATCACACAAATTTCAACATATACCACCCAATAACAAGAAGAAACATGTAGGAAAAATAACCTGCAATGCATAGGTAAGACGTATATTTTCTTCAATTATGTCTTGTCGGTATGATAAAGCCTTTGATGCGGCATCTACAAGATCTTGTTGCTGTTGATCAAAGGCCTGGAAACAACATTACAAATATTTTAAACAAGCATAATAAAAAAATTCAAATATAGAGGAAGTGAAACATATAAGGATGTTTAAGGAGAAATATCATGAGGACTTCAAAAATTCCATGCATACCAGACGCATATACGCTATGCGCTTTTCCAAGACATATTTTTCATTGCGTATTTGTGCTTCCTGTCATGGAAAAATCATCAGTCGTCATAATGGATATCAAGACAAATATAATCTAAAGATATGTGCATCACCACTTTAAAAACATAGTTACATCTTTACCTTAGCAGAATAATCTGCTAGATGTTTCCTTAATAGAATGATCTCTTCTTCATGTTCCCGGACCTTAATGGTCAGATCCTAAATAGATACACATATGGCTCCATAAACATCATGTCTGATTTAAGATGAAATATTAGAGCTGAAGTTAGTACCTGCTTCAGCAAAGAATTCGAATTATTTGTTTCAGGCATTGGCATCAAGCCTTGCCGGGGTGAACTGAATCGAGAATCGTTATCTCCTTCTGGTAGATGCCTACGATAAAGACAGGTTTCTTAAATTACACAAATCCTTCTTCAAAACTACCTATATATAAAATGAACAGAATACCACATTATAGCTATAGCATTGTAACTGATATTTGACATCACATACCTGCTTGGAGAGATAGACCTCGTAAATGGTGAAGACAGCTGATAATTTGGCATATTTGGCGGTCCATTTATTTGACTGTTCTCAAAATGGTTACCTGTGTGTATAATTTTAACAACATTGTTGAGCAACTAGTTTACTAGTTAGATCACCGAAAAACGAGGTTCCAGTAGCATTGAGCATACAGAATCAATTACCTGATGATGGAAATGATAGACGAGCTTCATAAGATCCATGACCCGGCTCCTTCCATGGATCAACTGGATGTGATTTTTTCTCCAATGATTCATATAACCGCTGTCAAAACATGTAAGTTAAAACTGAACAACTAGATATTACTAGTTTTCTTTTAAATTAGTTTTTAAGAGCAAATTCTTGTACTACTCTAGGTTGTCAACCCCAGACAACAGCCAACCCCGAAACTGAGATAGTAGTATAGCATGTAGCTGAATGACGCTATTGTAACTCTAATAAATTATATTTATTAAATAATTAATACATTAAAGTGTTAAGAACAAACAATTGTTGACCACGGTTTTCAAATAGTGTCGCTATAGCATAACCAATGGCAAAGCTTTGCTGTTTATATGAGGGGACCAAATACATGTATATATAAATATCGTCACTTTAGTTCCACATTGAGGAGCAATGGTAAAAACTAATTTCTGTTAAACTATTCAGTGTACAAATGAGAAGAGATCCCACAAACATACTAAGCATAGAGAAATTTGAACAAGCCACTATAGTCTCTTTTTTCTTAGGATCAACAAGCCACTATAGTCCATGATCCAATATTGACAATCCTGTAATTATTACCGTTCATTAAATAATTAAAACTAAAAAATAATACTATGTATAGACATATAGATATATTATATTTATTTTCATATGGTTATTATTACTACATATTTTATATTAATATCAGAGTAGTCAATAGCGGCTTATCCCGCTAAAGCGGAGCGGAGGCCAACCGCTATGAGAACGGTCTATGGCGGATGGCGGTCCATGGTGGAGAGCCAAAATCTCGCCATATTGGGTGCCATGCGGCGCCGTTATAGCGGATTATGGCGGAAAAACCCACAATATCAGCCAATGTTTATCATTGCGGCAAGCCCAATAACCGCCATGTATATCCTCCATAGCGGCCATGACGCCACAATTTGATAACACTATATGGGAAGAGCCTTAGCAGTGCAAAACACTATAACGGACACTATAGAGTAAATAGCGGGATACCGGAGCAAAGCAGTTCCCGGCCTGGAGCGGTTTCTGGCCCGCTATCCTTTTCCCTCTCAAAATCCGAAATTACCCCTTAAATTTACAACGTTCTAAGGGTAATTTTGGGTTTTCCAATCTAATTTGAGTTGAGACTCAACCTTAACCTTCCTTCATAGTCGTTTATGCACTTCAAGAGTCACGTGTGCTTTGATTTTATGAATATTTTATGAGTCGAGTTATTTGTTTAATTTTACATTAAATATATGTTTATAATTATTATATGTAATTTGTCCAAAAAATGATCAAATAGAGCGGTCAACCCACTATACACTATCCCGCTATCTACTTTTGAGGTCGGCCACTCCGTGCCGCTATCCGGCATGATTACTCTGATTTTTTTGAGTTAAAACTTAGGAGGTAAAATTATCACTTTTAGCGGAGGCCCGTGATACAGGTACAGCCAATGATTGACCCAAGCAAAACAATAAGTCTGTTACATCATTTCATAAAAACAACCCTATAATATATCTTAACCAACAAAAACTCTAGAATATGTCAACACAAGTCAATGCAGCCGCAGCACCTAAGTCACAACAGTTAACAGCACCGTTTTCATTATTCACCTATTCCCACTGTACACCCTTCTACTGTTTGTCATTCTGCGGTCCTTCTTCCTTTTCTTTTTCCTCCTCCTACCATGGTGAGAAGAAAAGTCCAGGTTTTCAAAAACAAACAACATTTCACTGACATAGTGCACTCCTTCCCCAGAATGGACAGAAATTTTGGGCCGGGAAAGATGCTTTTCAGGCCGCACCATCAGTGTTGTCGATGGCAGATGGAAGTCCATGGCGGAGAGCCAAAATCCCGCCATACCAGCCGCTTTGCAGCGCTGTTATAGCGGATTATGGTGGAAAAACCCGCAATATCGGCCACTATTTACCATTGCAGTGAGCCCAAAAAACGTCATCTATATCCGCTATAGTGGCCATGGCGCCGCTATTTGATAACACTGCGTCCCATGCATGGGCAACGCACCAGGAAGCACAGTGGTAGCAACCTCCCACACTATATTTTCCATTTTGCATATCTAATGCATCTTTTATCAAAAAAAAAAATTATAAATGTCATAAATAATGGAGAGGATAAAATGAATGGGGATATAATACCAAAAACCCAAAGTTTAAAAAAATATTGCTTGATGGAGCAGACATCTTCATTCTGAGATGAATCGAATAACTAAGTTTTTTAATTTGCTTAATGTCATCACTGCAAAATGCTTAGAAATATAGACTTAACTCAAATACAATAATTATTCCAACATTATAACAGTGTATGTCCCTTGCACTAAACTATTGTGGTCAAGATCACACTATTGCCTCGTAGGCCTACAACAGTAAATATCTCAAGGCCACACAGGCCCCAAAAAATCACCATGGCCTATCTTGGGTGACACTTAAGAAATGATAAGGGTTTAGGTGAGCATATCAGACATAACATGAGATTGTAGATGGGTGGATGAAATGTAAAAATGCCTCGCAGTAGATGTTAATTCTTTATCAAAAACCACCTATTGAACTCAAAAAAAAGTTCCATAGAAAAATAGTAAGACCGGCATTTTAAAAATTTTGTGCAGAGAAGACCAACGAAAGCATAGTGAAAAGTGCAGTGTGGACAAAAACGACAAAAATTGGATTGGTGGATGAGTGGACATAAAAGAAAAGATAAGTGAAGAAACAAATGTATGCAAGAGAATATTCGCATTTTTTAGTTAAATAAGGGAAGTACATCACTGAACTGCATATCCACAAAACTAGAATACAATGCCAGCCAGTACATTTTGATGGATTCAGAAGCTTGGCTCCATTGAAGGCTCTTCCCTTCTGTTATTTATGCTCTCTTTTTCAATAAGGAGGTCCGATTACCCTCTAACTATGAAGCACGGACACGCTGAATACGGCCCCGACACTAACACGGTGACACCGATAATAATTTTAAAAAATTAATTAGCTAAACGTAATCACAAGTATCGGTACAGGTGTCCAGCACATACACGGACACAAACGCGCCTATTTTTAAAGGTGTCGGTGCTACATAGCCCTCTAAACCTTTGTAATTATCTTCTCTTTCCTTTTTCGCATACACATGCATACAACCTTGACGCTATTCTCACGTTCCAAACCCCGTTTCCAAATACTAGTAGTCTAAGATTGTCATAGAATGTAGATCATGGACATGTATAGAAAACAAACAATGTCTTTAGTTCTATTAGATATGCTCCAGTTAGCAACTCCTACCTTAGTAGAACAAACTTTCAATTCAAATAATAGAGAATCGTAAAAGAATTGGGCAAAACAACATAGCAATCAAATGTATAAAAATAATTACAAAAAAATCATATTTTAAAATCGAAAATATCAATATAGACATTAAATTGGACATGCACCATTACAGAACTTACATATTTTTCCAGTTCCTGAATTTTACTCAGAAGCTCGGACCTAAGCTGGTTGTTCTCATCTACCTGTCAAAACCAACATATTGCATCCTTATTATCCAATTTAAAACAATATGACATGAAAGAAGCCGCCGTTGGACTAGAAAGTGAACCCACAACTGCAACTGTGTGCAAGGTAAGGTATCATATGATTTTCTATAGCATTTACTTTCACCGAACTATTGCCACATAAGGTATCATATCATATTCAATAAGCCAACATCAATCCAAACAAAGAAAATTTTCAAACTTACAAGCATTAATCATACATCATACAACTTAACCAATCACACTTGAAATAGAACAGCATGTGTTGAAACCAGAGCTATAGTACCTGCTGCTTAATGGTGGCTTCGGCAGCTTCAACAGCCTTCATAACCTGAAACAAGTTATCGTTGTTGTTGTTGTTATCAGATGAATGACCAGGTTGATCACGCAACGGTTGACCGTTCTGGTTAATTCCCAATCCTGAAAATTTCCCGGCCAAATTTTCATCGTAACCATTCTCCATACCCTACTTCTACAATCAATCCACTCCCCTCAAATATCAAAATCAAAACAAAAAAAATCCCAAATCAATCACTAAAAGGGCTCAAAATTTAATCTTCAAAGTACTTCCCAGTAACTCAAAACACTCCCGAGAATAATCCACCATCGATTTCAGCCCTTGCAAACACCAATCAAACTGAAATTAATATATCAACCGATCGATTAAGGAGTTGGAATCGAGGGGGATAAGGTGAGGAAATCGAATTGGAAATAAAGGGGAAGAGGTTGGTGTTGATAAAATTTGAAGAAATGGATGAATTTGAAACCCTAGGTGACAAAAAAAAAGAGAAAAACAGAAAGAAAGAAAAAATGTTTGAGGAAGAGGAAGAGAAGAGTGATGAAAAATGTGAAGAAGAGAGAGTGGTGAGTGTTGTTATGGTCAAGTGCGCGTGGTGTGTTTTTCATTTGTAGGATCGAGTTGGCATTGTCCTCTCTTTAAAAAAATAATAAATAAATATTATATTATATTACTATATATAAATAAATAGATATTATATATTATTATATAAGAAAATAGATTATGAATCTAAAGTGATAGTAGACAATAAATAACCATTATTCATCTCGTCAACTTTAAGTTAATTTTATATTATCAAATCACGATTATGTATTCTGCTAAATTAAATTGAAATTTTTATTTTTAAATTATTTTATGATAGAAAGTTAAATTGAAATTTTTATTTTTAAATTATTTGTATGATAGAAAATTAAATTAAAATTTTTATTTTTTAATTATTTGTAGGATAGAAAATCAAATTGAAATTTTTATTTTTAAATTATTTGTATGATAGAAAAGTGATATATTTTATTAAATTATATTTATATAATATATATATATATATATATATATATATATATATATATATATATATATATATATATATATATATATATATATATATATATATATATATATATATATATAGATTACGTATTATATAAGAAGATAGATTATGCATCAAAATTGATAGGATAAATTAATTTTGAATAATGTTAACTTATGTCCTAAGGGCACAAGTTAAAAAAACATATTTATAAAAAAGTTTGTATTGAAAACATCAATAAAAAATTAAATTTTTTTATTTTTATTAAAAATTATGCATAATTTTTAAAATATTATTTTTGCATTTAATTTTTAATTTATGCCTCTAGAGCACAAGTTAGCATTACCCATTAATTTTATATTTATCAATCAATTATATATATTACGTATTATATAAAAAGATAGATTATGCACCAAAACTGATAGGATAAATTAATTTTGAGTAATGATAACTTATGTCCTGATGGCACAAGTTAAAAAACCTATTTATAGAAAGTTTATATTGAAAATATTAATAAAAAATTAAATTTTTTTATTTTTATTAAAAATTGTGCACAATTTTCAAAATATTATTTTTGCATTTAATTCTTAATTTGTGTCCCTAGAGCACAAGTTGGCATTATCCATTAATTTTATATTATCGATCAATCATTAACAATTATACATTCCACTAAACTTACATTAATTAATTTTATACGATCAAGGAATGAACGAGGGTTATATATCTCGCCAAGTCAAACTGAAAGATTTATTTTTAAATTATTTATATAATATAAGAGTGATATTTATCAAATAAGAGGTTCCAATTCAATGAATTATTGGAAGTATGAAACTCTTCAAAGAATATTAAATTAAATTTAAAAATAAAATTCAATGAATTATGATAGAGCTTCTTCTTCTTATAAGAGCTTTTTTCTAAATTAAGAGCTTCTTCTTAAATATAACATTTTTCTAAATTAAGAGCTTCTTTTTATTTTATATTTTCTATAATGAAAAGAAAATCATATTTACAAGTATATTTACAAACCGAAAAGAATATATTTTTGTATAAAAATATATTTAAAGAACACAAAAGTAAATATTTTTTAAAAAAATTTTTAAGTCAATGTAAGGGTAAGAAAAAGAAATATTTTTTCTTTTAACCGATGATTAACTAATATTATGGTTTTTTTTAAAATATTGCCGTGTTTTTTTGGTAGATAACTATTGTTTTTTTTCATGTTTTAATTCCTTTATTTTTAATTTTTAAATAAATAAAATTCTAATAATTTAGAATTTAGTAAAAAAGAATAGATAAAGTGTAACTAATAAAATTATTTTGAATAATTTTCTTTATAAAACTTTATTAACCATTTGAGAAAAATATTTGTTTATGTGGTTGTAACTTGTAATTCTATATTTCAATGATTTTTTTAAACCACTATTAATAGAAGAAAATTATCATCATAACTCATTAATTATTTTGAGTAAAGTATAATCCACGACTTCATATTTTATTTGTTATTGTTTTGTTTTGATTTTTCATACGAATATTTTGCTTTTGTGTTGATAATTGTTTTTGGATGTCTATGAATAAGTTTTTAAAAGTATGTAGTTGTTACCTTATTTTGTGATATATATATATATATATATATATATATATATATATATATATATATATATATATATATATATATATATATATATATATATATATATATATATATATATATATATATATATATATATATATATATATATATATATATATATATATATATATATATATATATATATATATATATATATATATATATATATATATATATATATATATATATATATATATATATATATATATATATATATATATATATATATATATATATATATATATATATATATATATATATATATATATATATATATATATATATATATATATATATATATATATATATATATATATATATATATATATATATATATATATATATATATATATATATATATATATATATATATATATATATATATATATATATATATATATATATATATATATATATATATATATATATATATATATATATATATATATATATATATATATATATATATATATATATATATATATATATATATATATATATATATATATATATATATATATATATATATATATATATATATATATATATATATATATATATATATATATATATATATATATATATATATATATATATATATATATATATATATATATATATATATATATATATATATATATATATATATATATATATATATATATATATATATATATATATATATATATATATATATATATATATATATATATATATATATATATATATATATATATATATATATATATATAATCGGATTAGAAAGAGATTAACAGTCAGCAACGCGTCCTGAGCTTCTACTTCGTCGGTGTTGGAGAAAAGAAGGGGTGTACATGCAAGGTACTCTGATGTTAAAGTAAGTTTCAGCGGGAGAGAGAAATCAAGTACAGAAAGCGTAGAGAATATAATACTGACCCTCTACTGAAAAATGGTATTTATAATGTGCCTTCAGCGCTAAGCCAACGGCTATTTGCATTGGGTTAGATCATTAGGCCCAATATGAATAATTGTCAAATCTATGTGGCGACCTATTCTCGTAGACTCGGGTAGTTGGATGATGATGTGTCCCTGCGTGGGAAGCACGTGGAAACCGTGGGGGAGACGCGTGAGAGCTCTCTGTGTGATATGATAAATTGGGCCTTCATTGAGCCCTCCTTGATGAGAAGTTGGGTTGGGTTATGTCCGACGGTGGATCAGCCTCTGGCCCAGTCCAGAATAAGAGCCCCCAAGTCATTGCTCTGTAGCGTATGAGTAATGACTTAAGAGTCAACTCTTGTATCGAGGAGAGACTATCCGGTGTGTCAATCGTACTCGAGGCGCTGAGCTCACGAGGCTATTTGGAACCAGGCGTATAAGCCATTAATCGTGCTCGACAATGAGCTTCGTCTGTGGTCGATTACAGGGTCGGTCAAGCATTTATCCTGAGGACAGGTGCTCGTCACACGCATACATGGCTTGCTTTCGTCTCCTCTCGAGGAAGTGTTCCCGACAGCCCAAGGATCGGGCATTACGCTAGACATGTTGGATGGTACGACGGAAGTGAAAATGGCTTACACGTCATTTCCACGAGCCGTGTGAGGGGGCTCGAAGGACATGCATGATGTCATCTTGCACCACGTGTCAGAAGTAACTAATGCCTATGACGGCTACGAGTGGGGGCACTTGAGTGCATATGAGACGTTTCACTTCCCGTGTTAAGGCTTATAAATTGAGGGGAAGCCCGAATCATTTGTACGTTCCCTCGTTCTAGCTCAAGAATTTCTCAATGTTCCTCAAGGTTTCCTCAGTTCTCATAACGTTCGTCTGCCGCCATATATGTCGTCAGGTCCTTGCTCCGCCGTCCAGATTCTTCTTTGCATAAGCAAATCTTCTGTCTTTCTCCAGATTTTGTGCATTTTTCGGCTTTTATGAATTTTTCGGGGAGTTTCTTGAGTCCCCGATGAAGTTTCTGGGAGGCTCATGAAGTTTATAGCGGTTTCTCTAGGGAGCCTTTGAAGTTCCTGGCGGCCTCGTAAAGTTCTCAGAGGAATCATGAAGTTTCCGATGAAGATTTCGGGGACCTCATGAGGATTCTGGGAAAATGCATAAAGTTTCTGATGAAGGTCTCGGGGACCTCATGAGTCTTTAGTGCCCTTGCTAGGTTTGATGTTAAGGAAAGCTTTCTCCACACGGGCACGGGAGCATCACTAGGAAGTCTCCAAACAAGGAGACTTTCCATGTTTGACTCTGGCGGGAACTTGAGCGCTAAGAAACCCCTCTCCCGCAAATGGAGGTTTCACATTTTGCGTCGAGGAGGGTCATCTTCTGAGTACGCGCTTGTTTGTAAGGGCTTTGGTCGAGGACGTTTGTCGGGCATTTCCTCGCCCTTTCACTTGATTTGCGATGGAAGGGTGGATTTGATATTGGTTGTCGAATTCACCATTTTCCTCTGCTTTTCAGGTAAAATGGCCACAAAGCTTAAGGATGTCGTCATGGTCGACAAATAAGTCGAGCTTGATTTGGTTGACG